CCACCTGGAGATGTATAGAGGATTGGTGTTTGGGTTCCTGAGACCATCGGAAATATGTTTTCCAATGGTCTTAGGCGACCCCTGTGAGAGGGTCGTTTGACCCCCAGAGGGGTCGTGACCCACAGGTTGAGAACCACTGTCCTAAAGGTCTAAGCACAGAGGGCTGGTTGGCTTCGGCCGAGAGCACAGGTCCCCAAACATATGTGACCTCCTGTGCCCTTTTCTGGAACAAACAAACACACCCCAAACACGGGCAATTAAAAACTTGAGTACTATAGGCTAAATCCAAGTGCAGGTATCCGCTTGCAGGCCCCCGGATCATTCCAGTGCCCACAAGGGGGCAGCATCACTCACTTTGGGAAGACTGCTTGAGAGTTTCCAATACAGTAGGGCCTGAGAATTTGCATGTTATCGAATGTCCAGGTAACGCTAATGCTACTGTACTCCAGGTACCCCGTTCTTGAGAACCACTGCTCTAAAGGAAGCCCTAGGCTCAACTGGGTTCATTTCAGGGGAAGAGAGATTTTTGACAAAATACAAAAGAAACGCTTTAGAAATTAGAATTCTTCACCAATGGCATGCCCAGGCTGACGGGCAACTTCAGCCGCAGCCAAGGCACTGGGAAGGGAGGCAGCAGGTGGCCTGAGGGCCCTCCAGCTGGCACACCTGGACGTGGCTGGACGTGCGCAAGGGAAAAGGATGGTTCTGTTCTCAACACGTTTTCTTTTCTTCTCATAACCAAAACACAAATTTAATTTTGCACCCACTAGTAAATTAGAAAGTAATGCCTTAAAAAAAGGGTATTACAGTGGAATTCCATACCAGTCTGTCTGCAAGCTGACGGTTAGTTTTAAAAACACCAAGAGAGAAATAATGGGTCCTTCCAGTGATGTGTGGGAGACATACAGGGCTTTCTACGGCAATCCCGAGTTACACTCTTGGAAACTCAGAGGCAGTTGTACCCTGCCCTACAGGGTTGCTATGAGTCAGCTTCAACGTGATGGCAGTGAGTTTGGTTTTGGTTCATTTTATCAGAGAGGAGCCCTGTGGCAGAGTGGTTACGAGCTGGGCTGCTAAGTGCAAGGTCAGCAGTTTGAAACCACCGGCTGCTCCTCAGGAGAAAGACGAGGCTTTTACTCCCATGAAGAGTTTCAGTTCTACCCTGCCCTCCAGGCTCGCTCTGAGTCAGCGCTGACTCGACGGCAGTGCGTTTTATTGCATCAGCAGCTTCACTAGAGGAGCATGACCTTGAGGAGGAATAAAGCGAGTGAGAGAACAATGGCTAACTGTGAGGGCTACCAAAAAAAAAAACCCCAAAACAAACAAGATAAATGAGTCTCTTATCCAAACCCCTGGCCTACTGGAAATTTTGAGCCAGACTGATGATTCGTTCACTTACAATGTGCCCAATTTCAGAAGCAGAAAAAAAAAAAAAAGGTGAAGTAAGCATAGATTGGCTCAAAATCATACCTTTAGTTTGATGGGATACTCCTTATGTACCTCAAGGTAATCATTGCCAATTGTATCTCTAGACATACTGAGCAACAAGACTGGACTGACCAGAGCACTGCTATCCAGCACTGTGCCTGGCAGATACGCATTCCCTTAAGCTGTACCAAAGGTGGGTCTGATCTATTTATTATGTGTTAAATACGAAATACCTAATCGATTGATTGATTGATTGATTGATTGGCCAGCAATCAGCCAAATCTTCTACATTTTGGACACACATGCACGCATACACACAATGACTACGGCATAAGATTGCCCCCTCACCCCACCTTTAAAAAAAATGTAAAGTTATTCAATTTCCACAAAAACTATCTGAACGGATTCATCCTCTCCACTCACTTTTCCTTCAGCTCAGCATACGAGCCTTGGCAGAGTACTCTACCCCGGATTACTTATGTGATGTTCACTAACTGCTTTTTAAACAGCACCTGTGGTTTGACCACCCAAATCTAAGGCAGTTTCCATCCCTAGCTCCTACATCACTAAATCCTTTCATCTTCTCCACTACCCAATATATTCTGAGGTACTCTCTAATGTCTTTACATCAGCGACTTACGTGGAAGATATCACTGATTAATTCAACTGTACTGGACATTTCCTCATTATGCAGAGATTGCCAACATTGGTTCCTATGAGCTCTTGAGCCCAAGATTTCTTTCCAGAAGTCATCTGACGCATAGCTGTTCATCAGTGTCACAGCACATGCCCAGTGCCACCCTTCAGAAGCCTCAGCGTTTTACAAGCATTAAGGTGCCCTGTAAGCTATGGCATCTCAGAAGCAAGACGGTGAGGCTCCATTCAAGTACTTTGGCTGTGTGCTCCGGGGACCGGGTCCCGGAGAAGGACACCATTTGCTACAGCCGAGGGTCAGCACAACAGAGGAAGGCCCTCAATGAGAATCGATGACAACAGGCTGCGACAAGGGGCTCCAAGACAGCCGAGCTCGTGGAGGCCGGCACAAGAGCCGGCAGGGTTTGTTCGGTGGCACACAGGGTTGCTATGGGTCAGCACCGACTGGACAGCTCCCAACAATAACAAGGCCGGGCACAAAGTCCAGAGGAAGCAAACACTTCACACCAAAAAGCCCTGGCATACAGTTTGAGCAAAAATTTCAGGACTGGCCTGAGCAGTTGAGGCTGCACTACAACAGACATTAGTGAGGACCCAAAGTCCACACAAAAACTCCTGGCAGGAGTGTGGCATTTTCATAGGGCTCCTGGCCCGATGGATCAAGGTCAGGCGGTATTTTGGAATGCTAGTGTTCGAAACAGCTGGGTGATGATATTCACTCAGCTGCTTCCCCTTGAGGTCTACCTCAGGGCCTGGTTCCCACAGAGCATGCTCACCAGGGAAAGTCCCGGAGGCTTAATTATGTCCGAATTTCCTCTGGCACAAGAGGCACTCAACACTGGCTTAGCGAACAGGAACAAAGAACACTGGTTCTGGAGGGACTGGTTAGAAAGCTAAAACAAACATGGTCTCTTCGGCTGTTAAGCCACAGCTCCTTTAAGCCAACCTCCTCTTCCAGTCCCTCGTCCTTTCCCCTTCCTTCTCCACTCTGAACCAGCGGTCACGTGCTCTCAAATTCCACAGGACTTGGTGCCCAAGTGACATGTTCACCCTGTGGGGTCATGACCACCTACCAGCTCGGATCGATAGTTAAGTGTTCCTTAAATCTTGAGTACTCTGGAGGTATGAATGCTTTATCATTATTTCATACCCCCAAGGTGTATGCCCAGTAGATACATGCTAAAGAATGAAAGAAAAACAAAACAACAACTATCATTTTTTTTAAAGTGCAACTGATACTCTTTGACTTATTCAAAAGAGAGAGATTTGGTACTGGAGAAGAGAGGCAGAGATAATATAACCTGTCAGGACAGAAGTGTTTTTATATTACAGCTATTCTTTCTTGAGCTTCTGGGAACAAAGAGAGTACTCCACAAGATCATGTGATTCGAAAACACTGCAGAAAAAAACAACCCCATGGAATAAAACTTTTTAGGCAGCAAGTTTAGTGGCTGGCCTTTCCCTCTCCCGGCCTGACCCCAGAAAGAAACTGGCTTCAGATTTGGATCTGGAGGATGGTGGAAATGACAGAAACTGCTTATCGTGCACCTGCGATCCACTCCTGGGCTCTGCTGTACATGCTCATTACGTACTGTGTTTCCTCCTCACGGCACCCTAATGAGGTCCGTCCATGACACAGGAGAGAGTAAGACAGAGAGGCGATGGAAGTGACCTAAAGACATGGCTCCTGACTGCCACGTCAATCTATGCTTCAGAATTTCCCCTGGGGAAAGAAGAACTCAGCTGGCTAAAAGGAGATGCCCCAATGGTGCATGCACCCTGGTGTAACGGTAGGTGGTTTCTGCACTGTATTCCCAACCAACGAGCAGCTCTTATTTTGAGTGGGCCGAGGCAACTTGGGGACCAAGTAGAAACATTTAAAGTGCTGAGAGGCCCCGCTGGAGAACAAATAGTGTGGGAGAAGGAAGGTGAGGTGTCTGGATCCCGGGAGGAACTTGAGGGGCAAAGAAAGAGGTGACAAATGCAGGAGTCGACTGAGTTTTTGCGGGGTGGTGTGGGATGGAACTTCTCTGGCCCCTCGTGGAATTTTATGTCAAATCTACCAGACAGGTGCGTTGTAAAGTTGTACCTGCTTTGGGGCCAAGGGAAGGATGGCGGTCGGAGCCCTGCTTCAAGGTGGGGAAGGGCAGGGTCAAAACAGTAGCTGTCCACTGAGTGACATGCATCCCAGTGACGAGACAGAGTGGCTGTCAAGGGGAGGAACTGACCCCAACTGGTGGGCAACACTGGCCCTTGCAAATTAGGAACTGTGGAAAGTTGTAATGTCTTCCTATGTCTAAAGCAATTAGACCCTAACTTTCATCTCTGTTCAGCAGTATTTAATGTGATTAGAAGTGGCTAGATCTCAGCCCCTCTATAGTCTTTGGGAGCTGAAAGATGTGTCGCCGTGGGTGCTGGTATGTCTGAGCACTGCCGGTTCTTACTCCCCTGGCGATGGACTGCACTCACCTGTAGGTGGTTTCCGGAAGGAGATCTCTCACCACGTAAGTGGTGGTATTACCCACGGCAATACTCGTGTCTCCAAGGTCAATGTTGTAAGCAAGGATCTCCGACCCGTTACTGCACGGCTCTTCCCAGGTCAGAACAAGGCACACAGAAGGTGAATCAGGACAGGCGCTGGTGGGCCCCTCCTCCAGGATACAGAGTGTGGAGACAGGGTCCGGGGCAGACGCCGGTGTCTGGCAATGGACGAGCTCACCGTACGGCCCTGCGCCAGCTTGATTGACAGCCTAGGAACAGAATGGTGAGACAAAGTCCCCATTACACCCAGCACACATGCTAATGAGTGCCCCCCGTCTCTCTGTGAGTGCTATTGGCAACCCTCAAGTGAGATTCAATCTACCTCCAACATAGGGATCAACCCTGGAAATGGTCCCCTGCGATCTGAAGACGACCTTGCAAAGACTGGCAGATACATTTCATTAGTAAAGCCTACGAAAACAACGTGGCTGCCACCATCTCTTAGGAAGTGCCCTTCTACATGAACAGTGTGTCTGCATGGCCAATCTCAGTTTACTGACTGTGATAATAACCCCGAGGCAGGTATTCTTATGCATCTCACAGCACCGGATGGGAACACTACAGCGTCATCAAGCATCGGATGACATGCTGTAGGCCCCAGATTTAGTGGTCAAGATGGCTCTGGAAATTCGTTGACCTGAATTTTAAGCCAAGCGCTGCACGGGGACAGGGATTTTCCTTAAACACGAGTCAGAATCATCTCCCCAAAGCCCTTCCATGTCCTTCTACTTCATGCAGAACAAACTTCAAAGTCTTTCTAATAACCTACAAGCCCAATCTAATCTCTTCACTACCTCTACCCCACCAAGCCTCCATTATCATTTAACTTCATTGCCTACTGTTCTTCCCTGCGACTCCCTCTCCAGGACACAGTTCTTGACATTGCCCCCTCGCCAGGGCCTTTCTACTGGCTGCCCCTTCGTCCAGAGAGCTTTTAGCCCCTGACGTCTGCGGAGCACGTCAGCCACCTGCTGCAGGCCTGGTGTCAGGTGTACCTTTGCAGTGAGCTCTCTCTGAACAGTGTCAAGCTGTCCTTGACTCTCTCCTCCAAAGCCCCACAGAGCTCATTTCCTATTTCCCTACAGCGCATGTGTCACCAACATGGCGTCTCTTTCCTTTGTTCCCCGGATTACAGTGCAATTTCTATAATGGCAAGTTTGTTGGTCTGGTTGGTTCACTGTTGTCTCCTGAGCAGCCCGACGAGAAGCCAATACAATTCAAAAATGTCATTCACAGATACGTGGAAGGAAGAGAAAAACATCCGGCCGTATTCTAGCACAGTGAACGCCCTGAAACTCGGTTCTCATCTACTGCACAGGAGTGATGGACAAAGACTGAATTACAGGACTGTGGTTTGAGCTCTTCCACCAAAGGTCTTCAAAACTTAGAACACCTGCGCCTGATTATTCATTTCAAAGCAGGATGGGAGCATCAAAATCAACTTTACAAAAATCAAATTTGTAACTTTTTGGTCCTAGCCGTGTCCTGCTTCACGATGAAAGTTCTTTTTGGTAATAAGTTAAATGTCAGGAATCATTTTAACGTGTATAGTTGGGGCTTTTTCCCTAAGTTGCAGGTTTATCACGGAGGAGAAACGTGAGCCATGGTGGCAGTCCGTGGCGCTGCCGTCTCAGGCCTCCCATCACTCTGCTCCCGGGGAGGCGGCGGCCGCCACGGCTTGGAGAGGCACGGCGCACAGCTTATTCCATCATCTACTAGTCATGTGATCTGCAGGTTCGCGTCTCTGCGTTTATTTCCTCAGCTGCAAAACAGGCATCCAACAACCCAATCCACGGCCTTCAATTCTGACTCGCAGAAAGCCGAGAACGGGTTTCCGAGGCTGGAAGTCTTTACGAAAGCTGGGCGTCTCATCTGTCTCCCCTGGAGCAGCTGGGGGCTTTGAACCGTCGACCTTGGGGTTAGCAGTCCAACGCATAAACAACATCAAAGACTAAACTGGCTAATACGTAAAACTCGGGCCAAGTGTCTGGCCAACATTAGGTGTTTTGCTCCCACTTTCCCAGTGGGAAAAATCTAAGTCCAATACAGTGAGACCCCTGAGTGCCAATTTTGGGCAGCACTGCCCTGGACAGGGTGCAATCTTGCCACTGTCCGCCCCGTGTTCCGGTGGGAAATGTTTGAGCTTTCCTCCTTGGACGGTCCTGGCTTTCCAAGTTTTACTCTAACATTTGCTTACTTAAAAAAAAAAAGTTCACAACTAAACAAATTTTCGACTTACAAAGATGTAGCAAATACGCACTACCACATAGAGTTCCTTTTTGGGTTCCAGAATTCTTTTACCAGCTTGTCCATACGAAAACGTTTTCTTCCCTTAACCACTGGTTCAAAGGTATGCTTTGTTAAGTAATAATATCCGTATCGGGCACAACACACCTCACGGGGCTAGTATTATTTTAGCATCTCCTCATCAAAATATTTCGAAGGAAAAGTGGGGGAAAAATTTCCTGGGCGAACCTACTGAACAAGTAAGTCTTTGCTCCTTTTTTATAGCGCCAAATTGTACGTGTTCACACGCTCCAGTTTCTAAAGAGTGACACAGTCCAAGGCACATTTGGGCTTCACCTGACTTTATAGTAATGCAAATAAAACCAATTCGCCTTGGGTCTGTACATAGCGAGAAATCAATCCGGTTCAGGAGGTCTTTCTCTTGGTAGCATTTCTTTAGCAGCGTGAGTCATGGCAGTCTTGTAAGCACTGTCTCCCTCACACTAACTGTCTGCCTGGTTTTAATGACAGGTATAGGAGTGTGAAAATTATGTTTCAACTCCTGGATGTAAAACTAGGGGGAGGCGAGTCTTAGGCGGACTCTTTCTTTTGAGGACGTCGTTTCAGGTGCAATTTGGGGAAGAAGCCAGGGCTCAGCAACAACATAGCTGTGGGCACGAAGGCACAGAGCCGACGGACGTTTCGGAGACTCAACACGCAGAAAGCAGAGGGCAGCACGGCTACTTCCTGTTGTGGCAGGCTGCTCTTCCATTCGAACCTGCCTTGCTCCACACCAGGCAACCTGCCCCCCCCACCTGTGACTCTGCGCCACGATGGTAAGCATCAGGTCAGGTGCCTCAGCGACATGGGGTTAATTAGGGCCCATCTAATCGAGAAGGGCGGAGGCATGATGTCAGGATGAAAGAATTCACTCAGAAAAGCGGACAACAACACAGGCTCCATCATTTAACAGACAAGCTTCAGTCGCCTGGAAAACGAATGGATGGGGGCCATGCTTCCTCTGCAGAGGCCAGAGAAATGGAGCACTGTGCTCGGAATGGGCAGTGTGAGCCGGGCCGTAAGCCAGGTGGAAACCAAAATCTCGCATCTCTGTTTCTTGAAGGAGTTGGAGGAATTGTGGGTGAAGACAGACTATTTCAACGCCAGGCACCACATCTGAGATTCAGCTGTCTCCTGAGCATCTTCAGCACCCTTAGCTCCTGGCACAACAGTGCTCAGGAAATGTTACCGGGTACGTGGAAACGAATGGGCAAAGATCCCTATTTTGTCCCCCAAAGAGGAAGAGGACACGGAGCGGGGAGAAGGCCTGTAGCCAAGCCCATAAAACGAACGACACGTAAGCCCACAAGCACTGTCGCTCTTAAAGGGTGGGCAGGCGGCTTTGGCGATGAGCCAGCAACTTTTGTTCTTGACCGTACTCTGTTTTGCTCTCCACCATGGAAGATGAGAATGACCAGCCTTGATAATTGTCGCTGGGTGTCAGGCGGGGGCCAGTCCAATTTTCTTTAGTGTCTGTTTGGGGCTCTGCTTAGCCAGCTGGCACATGCAGCTTCCGTCCCCTGCCAGTTCTGTCTCAGCGGCTCCCCACTGCCATGAGCATCGCAGGGGGAATCAGAGAGGCCCCGTCCCTGGTGGCACTGGGCCTGCCTTTCCCCCAGTGGGGTCAGCATGTTATTCAGTGACTTGACAGCCAGATGAAAGGATACTGGGATGTAAAAGAGGGAAGAACAGGGGGGGCTGTTTTTGATTTCTGGGATAAAAAGAGGTAAATGGCAATAGATTCAAACAGCTGAACTTCTGCTAAGTGTAAGGGGATGCTTTCCGCACTCCTCGTGGCCTGTGAGGGGCCTGGAGTCAGGTGCCCACTGTGCCCGTGAGTACCGGCTGCAGTAATAGTGCCGACCTACCTGGAGTCTACAGCAGTACTGTGCTGCGGGCAGCAGGTCTCGGATTTCGAAGCTCGTCTCTGTCCCATGGTAAATGAGTTCTAAAGAGTCTTCATCTTCTCCCCACTCCAACCTGTACTCGGAGATGTCGGCTCCAGAACTTTCCGGGCTCTGGAAAGCAGACAATTAAAGCCGTTGATAAATCCACCTGGTCACAATGCCTGTGTTGGTGTTCAGCTAGTGACAACCAGGGAAAGGGAGCAAGATGCCCTGGGATATTTCAGACACATACGGACGGAGTGAGAGGGACACTCCATTCCCTCTCAGGAATGGCGGCCAGGGGTCACGTGGAAGGTGCAGAAACGGCTGCAGAATGAGGGCCCGGCTTACCTCCCAGCTCACCACGACCCATCCATCGGGCGTCAACGAAATACAAGGTGCTCTGCATTGTCCAGGGGGCCCTGCAGCAGTGGTGATTTCTGACACGTCCGAATAGGGACCGTACTGGAAAAGACACACACATACAGCTTTGTATGGTCACCTGTGTCGGTTCCTGTGAATGCATTTGCATGTAAAGAGCTCATAATCAAATCAGAGTGGGGGGTGGTGGTCTGCTGTCACCTTGCGGTCCTCCAACACATGGGGCCTCCATGCACAGTGGAGCAAAGCGCTGTCCTGCGCTAGCCCGTGGTTAGGACTGGTCACCGTTCCAAGTCCATCAGAGTCTATACATGCTACTGCACGTTGTCAGCACACGAGCCCACACTCACAGGGGGCTGCTGGCTGAGCTACATTGGCGGGGACTCCCACACGCACAGCGAGAAGTGTCCCCTGAACCATCCAAGCCGCCGGTCACAAAATACTGCCTGATGATGTTTTAGGGGGAAGGGCACTCACAAGGGCAGTCCCACCCCGCCCTATGGGGTGGCGATGAGTTAGCGTTGACTTGCAGCAGTAGGTTTGTGTTTTTAATGACTTTTACTTTCAGTTGACTGTGTATCATTCCCTGTGGGGTCACAGTCTATCATGCATGTACGAGGGGGCTTCAAAGGATCATGGAAAAATGAAAATGAAAGATCGATTATTTCCCCCCCAATGAACTTTTTGAAGCCTTCTTGTGTACATCTATGTTTATCCACAGTCTAAGATTAGTTGGTTCGTCAACCATTTTCCCTTTACTGTACATCAGAAACAAAGACACGCTCCTTCCGATCGACCGCAGCATCCTGTCCTAAGGTTCTTTCAGAGGGTATCAATGGAAATGAAGTCAGGGGCAGACGTAAGTTTAACTTTTTTCTTGCACAAAATCTACCGGGACCTGTTAGCTGATGATCACATTCTGGATGTCCTTCTCAGGACGGGCAGCGTCTGTGGTGAAACTGAATGCTCTGTTCAGATTGTTTCAGCGTAGCGTCTTCAGCGGCTCCGTTAGGAAAGGTGTAGACGTTCACTCGCTTCTCAGCATCACCGAGCTGCCCACTGCTCAGACCAATGGCCGCTAGAGACTCACACCTTCTCCAGGGGCTGGCCTCTCCTGACACCATGTCCAAAGTCTCACCACCCTTGCTTCCAAAGAGCACCCGTGGGCAGATTTCTAGTAGGGCCTCGTTTCCTACAGCTGATCAGCACACTCAACTAAAGTAAGGTGACCAGGTTTTAACATTGCTAAAGCGGGACACCACTGATAAAACTCATATCCTGGCGAAATAGCCACATGGCAGCCAAAAACCGTATACCCTAGCTTGTCGTGCTTTCTTTCCAAAAATTGGGACTTTCTAAAAACACCGCGGGACGCGGGGCAAATTGTTAAAAATCGGGACTGTCACGTCTGGTCACCTTAAACTAGAGGGCAGGAGGTTATCCTGAACACCACCGAGTGCGCCTTCAGCGACGTAATGCTCTTCCTGGCCTTGAGCTCTGGCCTGACTGGTCGAAACGAGGGCAATAGGAACGCACATTTCCTAGGACGGAGTCTCTGAAATCTCCGTTCAGAAATAAGATTTCTAGGCACTTCTTAACGGCCGTCCACTTTGGACAGGTGACCGGCGGAACAATTCTCCAGTGGGCATGGGCTCGACCTCGACAGTTGGTAAAGAAGTAACCATGAAACCCTTCGAGAAGCCCTGGTGGCAGAGGGCTTAAAGAGACCGGCTGCTCGTGGGAGAGCTGGCAGTTGGAACCTTCCAGCTGTTCTGTGGGAGAAAGGGGTTACGGAAATCTGCTTCGGAAAATGGGCTCAGAAAACCCTACAGGCGAGTCTACTCTTTCCTGCAGGGCGCGGTGACACGGTGAGCCGGCAGTAGTTCCAAGGCAGTGGGTTGCGCTTTTCTGGTGAAGCACGCGAGATGTAAGGCGTCAGGCCTGGGACTTACCCCTCCATCATTCAGAGCCCTCACCCGGAAGCGGTACACAGTCCCAGGAAGCAGGTGCCCCACGGTGCACTCCAGGTCGGGCCCGTGGTACACCTCGGAGGCCACGTCCTCCGGCTCCGTCATCTCCACACTGTACTCCGACACCTCACAGCCACTCTCCGAGGCGGGGACATCTGGGGACAGAGAATGACTCTCTTCAGGCCATCATGGGTTTCCAGTTAACCACAGCACCCCTGGCTCTCTACACGTTTTACAACACGGAGGCGGCCGGCCCTGGGTCTCTCTCTTCCAAAGGCAAGCCCGCTCCAGCAAAAAAAAA